AAGGAGGCATTCGTGAATCTCAACCAAATTCTAATGGGGACAGGGGTTCTTGGCAGTAAGCTGTTTTCTAGAGTGCAAAGGGTGGGAAAGATGGGTGGACCCTATGCATTGCACTGTCTGTGTCCTTTCCCTCTTGATCCTACATACTGTTCACTTTAAGAGTATCTCACCTTGACCCTTACCATTGATATCAGTAGGAGATTGGTTTTCTTACTGCCCAGCTCCATTAATAGCTTTCTGTCACTCACAAACCTGCAGTGGCTCCCTAGTACCCTCTAAACAAGGTTAAACTGAATGAGACTTCCCTGATATGACACCAACAATCTTATTTCCCTATCTTTTCTTCCCTCAGCCCCAGACATCCCCAGATTTGTTTTTGCCCAACCTCAGTTTGCACAATTAAGGCTTACCTGGTGTGTCCTCCCTCCCTCATCTGTGGTTTGGGTCCTCTAAGATTCAGATACCAAGATGAGATTAGATATGTAAGAGATGTATTGGGGAAATGCCCAGGAAGGATAATGAAGGAGGCTTCAGAACTAAGCAGGGATAGCTTTTAGATGGAGGTGCAGGCTGGACTCCTACAAAGCAGGGGGACAGGAAAGACAGGACTACAAGAAAGATTCTGGGGCAGCTCTGGTAAAGGGTCAGCCTTGCTGTCCAGGAATCAGGCCATTCCCCCACCACATTCAGTCATTGGCCAGGAACGGCCAGAGGGTGAGGATAGCCTTGATGTAAAAGCCATCGGAGATCCAAAGGTGTGATATCCAGAGGCTGCCAGTCTGCAAAGTGCACCCAGCAAGTTCTCTTGGAGGAATTCCACTAAGGATCTCTGTGGCTGCCACATAGCCTGGCCGTGCCTTAGGACCAGCAGGGTCTCACATGCTCCTTGAAGCCCCCTCCCCTCCACTTGCCCTGCAGAACCGACCTTGCATTTTTGAACACCCAGGGGCTTTTCTCCTTTGTGCCCCTAAGGTACCCCATATCCCACTGTGGCTGGCTTCTTTATATATGTCCCATCTTACCCTCTGCAGGTCGCTGCAGCAGATGTCATCTGTGACCCACCCTCATCCCCTCCACCCACACTATGTCCCTGTAATCCACCCAGCCTCCAGCTGGCAACCCTACAGAAATCTGTGTTTCTTTTCTTTTTTTTTTTTTTTTTTTTAGACGGAGCCTCAAGCTATCCCCCTGGTAGAGTGCCATGGCATCATGCTCACAGCAACCTCCAACTCCTGGGCTCAAGCGAGTCTCCTGCCTCAGCCTCCCAAGTAGCTGGGAC